ATTAATACTAAACAAAAACTTGGAATGGGAACAAAAAAAGTAAAGCGGTGTTGAGTAGTGATTGGTCTCAACAATTAGCCGACGAACTTCACAAACCAATCACACGAAACTTTCAAAAGAGATTAGTAGTCTCAAACGGGATTGATGAAATCTGGGCTGCTGATTTAGTTGACATGCAAAAGTTTAGTAGGTGGAATAAAGGAATTAAATATCTGCTGATGGTTATTGATGTGTTTAGCAAATATGGTTGGATTAGGGGGTTGAAAGATAAGAAAACTGAAACTGTCAGTAAAGCATTTGAGGACATATTCAAAAGTAAACGTAAACCAAGGAGGCTATGGACTGATAAAGGTTCTGAGTTTATCAGTAAACATTTCAAAGATTTTTTGAAAAGAGAGGGAATCAATTTGTATCACCCTGAAAACGAAGAAAAATCTAGTGTTGTTGAGAGATGGAATAAAACACTGTTTACTGGGACAAGATAGATAAACTAGTTAATGATTACAACAACTCGAGACATTCTAGTATAAAAATGACTCCTGTTGAAGCGAGTAAAAAGAAAAATGAAAGTAAAGTTTGGTCTAATTTGTATGGTGATTCTATTTACTTAAAACCTGGTAAATCAAAGTTTGCGGTTGGTGATAAAGTTAGAATTTCTAAGTATAAGAGAAAGGTATTTGATAAAGGTTACACACCAAACTGGACAGAGGAAATATTTGTAATTGACAAAGTTTTACCTACAAAACCTGTTACGTATAGCATTGTTGATTTGACAGGAGAAGAGATTAAGGGTTCTTTCTACGAGCAAGAATTGCAAAAAGCAAAACAACAAACATTTAGAATAGAAAAGATTATCAGACGAGATAATAAGAAAAAATGGCACTAGTAAAATGGAATGGATATCCTGATAAATTTAACTCATGGGTTAGCTCTAAGGATTTGGTTGATTTTTAATACAAAATTTGTATTAAAAATAAAATCCTATTATCTACTCACTTTCTTCTTTATCAGATAAAAGTAAGTCGTCAACTACTTGATCTGTTATCTCTTCACCTTCACTCTCTTCCTCATCAATTGTTAGTAAAGCCTCTCTTGGTTTTAGTGGTTTGACATAGCACTCATTTACTTTTATTTGTAAAGATGTAACAGTTTTACTAATAAATATTCCTTCAATTATCAAAGCCATTTTAACATTGCAGTACTGGTTAATATATTTAAAAGGATTTAAATTCTTACTTACCTTTCCCTTAAAGAAAGATAATATTTTCTTTGATTTTTCAGAGTAAATAAGTTTTGCATATAGAACTGGTGCAGATGATTCATCTTTTTTTGTTTTCTTCTTTCCTTTCTTATCTGTATATTCTATTTGTTTGAAATAAAATGGCGAAGATAGAGTTGATGCTAGATCTGCACCGTATTCATTCTCTAAATGTTGTTGAGAGAAAGTTGTTACATTATTAATAACATCAAAAAATGCTTTTTCTTTATTATTCGGCTCACTATCTTTAGCCCAAAGACATACTGGCATACTATAACCAACTAACTTGTTTGTTTCTTGATTTTTCTTCTCATTAACACCAAAGCTGAAAAGAAGTGGGGTTTCGACTACCAAAGCTCCTTTCTTTCCATTTGGATATTTGGCTTCAATTGGGATACGTTTATATTTGATCTTACTATCTTTTACTTTGTACTCTTTGGCTTCATTAAAGATAATATTGTCTTGAGTAATATTTTCGTAACTAGACAACTGCATTTTTTATTATAATAATTTAATCTTTAAGCAATAATTTATTTTCAATTGTGACTTCTATAGAATATAATCTTTCTGAAATTTCTTTTAATCCTTCTTCTAAAAATTTTATAATTTCTTTTTTAAAGTTATTATCATCATAATTTTTAACATAATATTTACCAGCTAAATCAATATCATTAGATAGACTAGTTAAACCAACAATGCCATTTGAACTCATTTTATTATATTTTTATCAAATATTTAAATCACTTTTTTTCTGGCCAGAGTAAATGAACGGACCAGAAGTTCGCCGATTCAGGATTAGTATAAGTTAACTCCCCCTGTTTATTTTTAATCTTTTTAGCTCTAGTAAGATATTTATCTCTTCTCTCTTTGTCTTGATGAATAAGATAGTCTGGATAATTTGGTGATCCAAAATGAACTTTCTTTCCACTTGAAAGTGTTGCCATGTATTTGTTATTTTTGCGTGTTGAATAATCAAGCGATTCAGCACCGAGTTTTTTAGCATTTCTGGTTAGTTTTTTGAACTCTTTTCCACTAACAAGATATTTTTCATCTGGAACATAATCTGTATCAACATCATGTCTGTAACCATCATCAACTATAAAATCCAAATCCTCTTTTGTAGGAGTAGTTTCTCTTGATCTTGGTTCCATTTTTATTTAATTGATTAGATTATTTCTTTCATGTAATAAATTTAAAAGAAATAAATAAATGTTTAAGTTGAAAAGGATTAAATTCAAATTCCCATGTTTTTGAACCTGATTCTAAAGATAAACAAGCTATATTTTGCATTTCATATTTATCATATTCTAATTTAGCTTTATATTTATAATCTTTGTAGTATCTAAATAATATTCTATATACCATCTTTTGAAAATCTATTAAATATTTATCAGAGGGATAACTAAAATAAAAATAAGTATTATTTATTTCTTCCATTAAACTTTTTATTTTTGTTTTATATTTCCTTCTCTTCATCTTTATATCTTTTATTATAAGAAAAAGTATATTTATCATTAAATTCTTAATCTATCATAATTCTTATAAGTTACAAAGTAATATTCTTCCAATTCATCTTCTAACATTTGTCTTTCTCTATCTTGATATAAAATCCTAACTAAACTTTTATCTCTTTTGTAACTTTTTCTTATATTACTATTTAAATTAAACAAAAGTGATAATATTCTATTCATCTTTTTATATTATAAGAATATTAAAAAGTAATTCAAAAAACAAAAAAAATATATAATAAATTGTGTTTAAAAAATATTAATCTTATAACAAAAAAAATGTTATAAGATTAAAAATATTAATCACTATCACTCTCGCTCTCGCTATCAGATATTATATCATCAAGATCATCACTATTAACTCCATCACTCTCACTCTCACTATCACTATCACTATAATAATTACTAAAACTAGTACCTTCTTCATATTTTATTTTAAACTTACTGAAAAATAATTCAAAATCATCATAAATATTTTTAAAACCGGGATAAGGATCAATAAAAAGTCCATCATCTTCATCAAAACAAATTTTACAAAAATTTATATATTGATTAAAATTAAGAAAATTCTTATTAATCTTAATTAAGTTATCAACAACACTACTTTCAATCTCAAAATTACTAATATCTTGAAGTTTACCTCTTTCTTGACCTTTTAAAAATCTTTTTATAAAGTACTTAATTCTAGTAACTTTATGATTTTCAAATAATCCACGATTTGCATCATTTATGTTGTCAACAAAATACTTAAATTCCTTGTCAATACCTCTTATAAAAAGGTATTCTTTTTTGTAATCCCTTGCATATTCTGGGATTTTGGAATTAATACTTTTGACGCAGTTTTTTTGCTCCGTGATACCCATTTCTATAACTACTGATCCTCTGGCAGGTCGGCCATTTTCTGTTCTTGAGGAGCTGCTCTCAGTTTTCGGCATTTGACGCATCTTGAAATGTGACTGGACACGGCTGAGCCACCACCGATTATCCAATAACCAGTCGATCTGATCTCGTTATGGGTGATTCCATGACCTTGGTGTTCGACTGAATGATGGTGATGACAGACAATCTACTCGGTTACATGCCCCTTTTTTGGAAGGACGATGGGATGTTTGGCATCGAAGGTAAGGCCAATTGCAAGTCTAACTCATCCACCAACTCTGACTACGCCGTTATCGTCAAGGAATGGATCAAGCTTATAAAGAGATCTTGTCTTCTTCATTTCCCTCCTTCCTGGAGCGGTAGAGGTGCTTCGGTCGGTTGCTCGTTCTTTGGTACTGGCTTCCCTGAGAATACGTAATTCGTCGCTGAATGCTTCTCTTTGTATGTTCTTGATTATTTCGTTTTCAGCCCTCTGTAGCTCTTGAACATTAACTGGAATATACTTGGTTTTCTGAGAACCAGTTGGATATCGTGCAGTGCTGTCATTGACGCCAGGAGATCGACTTCGAAACTTCTCTTGAATGCGAAGACAAACAGCTACGGCTTTCTTGGTTCGGTGCCAGCAGGAAAAGTATTCCAGGCGTTCTAAAAAGGACGGAGGATTTTGGACTTTAGTCGTCAGAACGGAAGCCCTTTTAACTTCGGGATCGTCGGGATGAATAGAAGGGCTAATGTCAGTCTGGTTCCAAACTCTTGAGGGTTTCCAGAGGAAGTCTGGTCCATTCCACCACAGACTGGTATCGATCAGTTCTTGTGCCCCGGAACCACGGGAAGCAATGTCGGCTGGGTTTTCTTTGGTCCCAACATAATGCCACTGTGCTGGTGACGTTCGTTCACGTATCTCCTGGACACGATTGCTAACAAAAACGTGAAATCTTCTAGCATCGTTGTTTATGTATCCCAGGTCAGTTTTGTTGTCTGTCCAGTAGGTTTCCTTTATTTGGTCAAACTCAAGTTCCTTCAGTAAGACGCCACCCATTTTGGATGCAACCAGAGCAGCAGTGAGCTCAAGCCTGGGCACTGTAACAGGCTTCAATAGCGTTACGCGAGACTTTGCTATAACGAGGGAGCAGTGGATACTTTCCGCGTCGTCCATCAAGCGAAGATACGAACACTGTCCGTAGCCGTTCTGGCTAGCATTGGAAAAATGATGCAGCTCAACTGTCTTAACTTCTCCGAAGTCTTCCGGTTTATAACATCTTGGGACCTTCAACCTTTCCAGTAAGGGGAGTTCGGCTCTCCATTTGTCCCATCTCGCTCTAATGTTGTCTGGAATATCATCGTCCCAATCAACACCTTCGCGACACAATTCCTGAAGGATTCTCTTGCCTAATAAAATGAAGGGTGCTACCAGGCCCAGGGGATCATAAACAGAACTAACGGTGGACAGGATACCCCTTCTTGAGAACGGTTTGTCCTTCAGTTCGATTCTAAATTGAAGTGTATCAGACTCTATACACCAATGCACTCCCAGCGCGTGTTCGATTGCGGTGTCGTTGAGGAGACTGGGATGCTTCGTTTTGGTGGCTCGGTCTTCAGGAGGTATGGAGCTGATGACTATCTGACTATTTGAAGTAAATTTGTGTAGTCGGAATCCTCCTCTCTGGCATAAAGACTTGGTATTCTTGATGAGGTAAATTGCTTGCTCGTTTGTTGCCACCGACTTTAGGCCGTCGTCGACGTAAAAATCTTTCCTCACGAACTCTGCGGCTTCTTTGCCACAAACATCTTCAAAATGGTCAGCAGTGGTCTTTAGGGCAAAATTGGCACATCCAGCGGAAGAAGTTGCACCAAAAAGATGAATAGTCATGCGGAACTCGACTGGATCGCTCTCGACGTTTCCCTCCTCCCACCACAGGAATCTGAGGTAGTCTCGGTGCTTGAGGTCGACCTTGACTTGATGAAACATTCCCTGGATATCACACATGAAAGCCACTCGTTCTTTTCGGAAACGACACAATACTCCAGTAAGGTTATTGGTGAGGTCTGGGCCCTGTAGAAGCTGTTGGTTGAGAGACTGGCCATGGCGTAGGGCGCTACAATCAAACACCACTCTTATTTTGCCTGGTTTGTTCTTATGGTACACTCCGTGGTGAGGAATGTACCAGACGCGTTTATCGTTCCTTGATACCTCTGTGCTGGGAACTCTCTCTGCGAAGCCGTTCTCTATGGTCTCTTGCATAAAGCCAACGTAATCCTTTCGGTATTGTGTGTCGCTCTGCAACTTCTGCTTCAACTTCATTAATCTGCTCAGTGCTAGGTCCTTGTTGTTCGGCAGTTCGACGTTTTCGTTCCTTAAAGGGAGAGGCATTTCATAATGCCCATCTTCTCGTTGGTGAATGCCTTCCTTTGCTGTCTTAAGGAATCTTCTATCTTCGAATGAGAGTAACTTTTCTTCTGTTCCTTTGTCGTTAAAGTCCAACGTGAACATTCTCTCTACTTGAAGCGGGCTGATAATTTCTTTAACATGGGTCTTCACGGCGAAGTGACATGTTCTTCTTTCTGATGTAGTTTTGACTTCGTGAGCAACTATTCGGTTGCAGAGTATGTCACCGGCAATATCAATGGTGCTGTCGTCTTGGCTCGTTCGTTCAACCACGCCAATAATTCCCCACCCAAGAGCAGTTTTCTTGGCGTACGGGTCGTCATCATTTCCGAGGATCACTTTGTGCGGTTTGATTGCTCGGGCGCAATTAGCTCCTATGAGGAGACCAACTCCGATGTCGTTATCAAGTGGCATCAGGTGACTTGCAATTTCCTTTAGGTGGGACCATTTCCTGGCGGTCTCGGGAATCGGTATTTGGCTGCTCCTAGCAGGAATGACGTTTCTTGTATACGTTCTAGGGAGAGGAATATCTATTGTTTCATTGATGCCGCGGACTGAGAGGCCGGTTATCTTCTTGCTAGTTATGGTCTTCTGAGGAAGAACGGTTGAAAGTTCCAAGTGAATTTCTGGACCGTCAATGCCAAGCGTATTGAGAGTAGATTCCCTGATGAAACATGCATCTGACTGCTCGTGCGTACACTTTGATCTTGTTCCCAGGGTTATTTTGATGATGAAGCCAGACCGAAACGATCAACGAATGGGATGTACAGTGGTCGAAACCCTTCATGTGACAGGTCAATTCGATTGGAGACGGATGCGTCCTTGTTTGAGTTGCTCCTGTCTTGTTTCACGTTAGGGGCTTCTTCCTTTGTTGGTGTCTTCCATGTTTCATCATGTAAGGCAGAAGGGTGTGGTCCATTACATGTCTTGCAGGCTTTCTTCCTACGGCAATCTTTGTTTACGTGTCCCCACTTTAGACACCCCCAGCATAGGCGCTTGGCCAGGACGAAGTCTCTTCTCTCGTTCAGTGGCAGGCGCAGAAATTTGTCGCAATTCTCAAGGTCATGAGAGGCTTTACAGAAGAGGCAGAGCGTCTGTCGGTTCCTTTTCTCTTCTTTGCTTTTCTCGCTTCCTCCCTCAGTTTCGTTTACGCCTGTTGCTAGGCTGCTGAGTCCAGAACCCTTGCTCCTTCGTAATCTGCTATGCGTTTTCCCTTTCAAATCTTCGTCTTTAATTGCTCGTAGAGAGGTGACAGGATTGCATGCAATTCTCGCTTCCGTCGCCAGGAACTGGCAAAACTCCGCAAAGGAAGGATATGTAGCTTCTCTTGCGTGACAAGGTACTTCTTCTAAGTTCAATTTGTCCGTTTGCTCTTCAC